CAGTGAACGATAGTAGTGACTGTTCCATAGTGTTTTTAAACAATATTGACAATTTTTTTTTAAATCAACTTAAAGATATTGGTAAAATGAACTTGAAATAATGTTTTATTCTGCTTAAATTTTCGAGCTTTTTTTTCTTTCCCAGTACCCTCGGGACGCCCTTATGCTAATTTATGCGATTTTTCCCGGAAGAGAAATCCGAGCATTTTCGTTTTCTCGGAAAGTTTTAAAAGGAATTTGATCGATTTCCTTTAAAATTTGTAACATCGATTCCTCTCCAAGCTTTGATCCAAGACACCATGTGAAAGTTGGACTGGTGTAAGGACTGTCGAGATGTCTGGGAGAAACTGGCGCGGTGTTTAAGCAAGACAAAAAGTTGCGAGCAAATTCAAGGTAGGATTTGCACATGCTTGGTGAAATACACTCGGTATTTCTCGGCGTTCTTAAATCATTAAGCAGTTAGTTGTTGTTAGCAACAAAGTTGATTTCGATTTCTTGTCCAATCTGCAAGTGGAAGCTAAGTATATCAGTAATACAGTAGATTTTAATCCGGCGAAATTTTCTTAGAGTTGGGGAATATTAACGCGACAAAGAGAGTTTTGCCTCGGAGGAAACGATCGATAGCGTAATAGCTTGCTTAGACACAAACAAAGCAAAATGGGCCACGTAAACCCAATACTGAACAGGGATTCCTAAGGGTGGATGAAAATAGTTAAAAAGAACGATTTGAAACTTTATGGATAAATTTATAAACTTTTCCAGGAGCAAAAACCGTAACCAAAAGAGATTATGCGGATTTAGAGTTTCATATTAATGCATGCACGAGCACTGTAACTCACTTTCCCACCGGAACGCATCGATAACTTTAATAAACGAAAACGTGATCAGGCACAGTTATAAGCAACCGAGTCGATCAGAGATTCGTTTCTATAACGACCCAGTATAGCAAAACATTCGGTTCCTTAAAAGCTGAATATTATTTACAGCATTTGCATTGTCGATCGAAAACTTGATGGTGTTGAGTTTCATATAATGAATATCGGAATAACATATATCAGGAAGTAAGACAAAATGAAATGGTTTTCGAGCAAAGACTTGTTTTACTCTTCCCGAGAATTAGACTTAAAAATACGCCGAGCTAGCATACGCTTTATGGTCAGTCGGTCAGGGGTGACCGGCAGTCCTGACATTTTGTTAAATTTGACGAAACGAAGAAACTTAGCTAATCCAAATTATCAAATGTTGAATAAGAAGTGACGAGCGGTCCTCCCGTTTGCGGTTTTCAAAACAATACATTTCTTAGCATAATGTTGTAAATAGTGATATCTAAATGTTTTAAATTCGTTTTTGTATATATTTTTAACTGCAGATGATAGATGTTTTTGTGATTAATATTCATTCTTTGGATTATTCTTAGTTATTTTATAGAGCGATTGACATTAATACTTTTTACTACCCTTAGTTATTTTATGATTACTCGGTTGATATTTCAGCTCAGAGGGCCACTAGTTTATCAGTTATAACGTCATGTGTTAGCTTCTCTAAATAAAGTTGTTACTTAATTAATTAATTACTTACTTACATGACCTACACTTTAAGTAAATTTGACGAATCGAAGGAAGCCAGCCAATTAACGAATTTCAATCAGGAATAAATAGTAAACGATTCAGCAAAGCTTTATAGCTCTCAGCTAAAATTAAGCTTGGAGACAGGTATGAGGTATGCAGCTGATGCAAGATATGAAACGTGAAGCTTACGTAAGGAGAATCTTTTTGAGCAGAGCTCGACCTTCGTCTCTCTAGTCGTACCAACCCTCTCACAAGCTCATTAAACAACTTGTTGGCTCTTTTGTTAGGACCTTTTTTCTCATTCGTTTGACGTTTTTGAAAGACAGCTCTACTTAATAAAAAATTCTAACAGAAATGTTTCAATTTTTTCCTAGAGTTTGCTTCAGGAAGGGAGCATGGTTTTTCTTATTTTTTCCAATTTTGGTCATTTCAAAATTAATTCTTGTGTTTGTCTTCGATCTCGATATCCTTTGCGATCTTTATCGTAAACGCACCTTCTTGAAAATCGGTTTCTTCTCAGTTTCAGGTATTAAAAAATGTGCCTTGTCGGTTTTTGGTTACCACTTGTCTTGTCGTTAGACTGGGGGGGGCGGAGGAATGGGGGGGGGGTACTTCTCAGTGATAGTTTAATGGGGATGTGACGCTGAGTGGGGTCGTATTTTCACGACCGCATTGTATTTAATATAATGGGAACCCGGCAAAAATTGACGCAAGTACACCCCATCCCCCACCCACCCCTCTCCCAGGTGGTAGACCTCATTGACCTCAGTTTTGCCTTACTTTGTATTATCCTGGGATAAGGGATCAGTCATCCACCATCGCCTGAGAAATTGGGGGGGGAGTTGAGAGATTTTAGGAGGGATAACATGGTATTCAGGGGTAATGGGGAGAGTACAGTCGTCGCCAACATAGTGTGAAGAGGTGACTATAGAAAGTTGACCTCCAAGTACCTGCTAATGAGCGAACTCAAAAGAATATTACAGAGCCTTGTGGGGGAGG